TCCTTTCCTTTCCTTTCCTTTCCTCTTCTTTTTTAGTAGGCTATATGCTGGGCATAGAACTGGAGCTTGAACTCACAACCCTAAGATCAAGACCTGAGCTGAGATCAAGAGTCGGATTCTCAGCCGACTGAGACACCCAGGCTCCCTGGTTGCTAACTTTTCATTGAATTACTTGGTTGGGGAGTCCCTGGGCGGCTCAGGTGGCTAAGCGGCCGACTCTTGACTTCAGCTCAGGTCATGTCATGGGATTGTTGTGTGCTCACACTGCTGAGCCTGCTTGGGATTCTCTCTCTCCCTCTCTCAATCTATCTTCCCCTGCTCACTCTCTCTCCCTCTCTCTCCTTCTCTCAAACAAATAAATAAACATTAAAAAAAGAGAAATACTTGGTTGGCATTTAGAGTCATAAAATTTACTGTTGGTTACTCAAGTTGTCCCAAACATTTTCGGTTTTCCAATGACTGAATAAAATATCACTTAAAAAAATTTTTTTTAACATTTGTTTTTGAGAAAGAAAGAGACAGAGAGAGAGAATGGGGAGGGGCAGAGAGGGAGACAGAGGATCTGAAGCAGGCTCTGTGTTGTGAGTGCAGAGCCTGATGCGGTCTTGAACTCATGAACTGCAAGATCATGACCAGGGCCGAAATCAAGAGTCAGTCGCGTAACCAATGGAGTCACCCAGACATCCCTCAAGTATCAGTTTTTAAATTAAAATTAGGTAAACTTCAAATTTAGTTTTTCTTTTTTTTTTAATTTTTTTTTCAACGTTTTATTTATTTTTGGGACAGAGAGAGACAGAGCATGAACGGGGGAGGGGCAGAGAGAGAGGGAGACACAGAATCGGAAACAGGCTCCAGGCTCTGAGCCATCAGCCCAGAGCCTGACGCGGGGCTCGACCTCACGGACCACGAGATCGTGACCTGGCTGAAGTCGGACGCTTAACCGACTGCGCCACCCAGGCGCCCCAAAATTTAGTTTTTCAATCACACTAGCCACATTTCTTTTTTTAAATTTTTTATTTTTTTAAATGTTTATTTATCTTTGAGAGACAGAGAGAGCATGAGTGGGGGAGAAGCAGGGCGAGAGAGGGACACAGAATCCGAAGCAGGCTCCAGGCTCTGAGTTGTCAGCGCAGAGCTGGATGCGAGGCTCAAACCCACGAACTGTGAGACCATGATCTGAGCCAAAGTCAGATGCATAACTGAATGAGCCACCCAAGGGCCCCCACACTGGCCACATATCAAGAGCTCCACAGCCACACATGGGTAGGGGCTGCTGTATTGGACAGTGTGAGTCTAGACTGTTCCTCCACAGGTATAAATTTGGTTTGAGGGTTTAGTCACAAACTAAAAAGGCAAATACTGTTCTAAGGGTTTAGAGACACAAACTAGAAAAATGACAGTCAGGAAGTTTTTGATTTGCCTTTTGATGTGAATGGCCTATTTCCACCTCACAATTAGTTTCTTACCGAAGCATGTCTGCCTGTCAGGGCCTAGCACAGTTCCCGGAGAGCACGTGCATTCACTGGTGTCCAAGCAGCTGCCATGGCAGTCCTCATCACAGATGTCATAAAAATCTGTGGAAAGATAAGGTCGACCTTTCATGAGGGGTTAAGGACCAGAGGACACTCATTCATGAGAAAGCCTCGTGGGTTCAATCATGAGGTAGGAGCTCTTGGCCAACATTGAGAGTTCTCATAGTTCAGGGTTTATGTAACCCAATGGACAGAGATACTGCCCGGGGACATCTGTCATTTAGATCAATGGTTCCCAACTTCAGATCCACAGGTGATAGTTTCTGCAAATCTAAAACCTCACCAAATACGAGCTGTAGATTAAATAAGTGTTATGCCCTATTCTTCTATGTATTTTATTTATTTAAAAAGACTTTTTTAAAACATTTATTTATTTTTGAGGCACAGAGAGAGACAGAGCATAAGTGGGGGAGGTGCAGAGAGAGAGGGAGACACAATCCGAAGCAGGCTCCAGGCTCTGAGCTATCAGATAGAGCCCAATGTGGGGCTTGAACCCATGAACCGTAAGATCATGACCTGAGCCAAAGTTGGACGCTTGACTGAGCCACCCAGACACCCCTGTACTCTATTTTTTAAATGCATACAGATTTTTTTTTTTTAAGTGTCTGACTTCGGCTCAGGTCATGATCTCACAGCTTATGAGTTCAAGCCCCACTTCGGGCTCTGTGCTGACAGCTCAGAGCCTGGAGCCTGCTTCGGATTCTCAGTCTCCCTCTCTCTCTGCCCCTCCCTTGCTCGTGCTTTGTCTCTCTCTGTCTCAAAAATAAATAAACATTAAAAAATTTTTAAATGCATGCAGATTTTGATGGGATTAATAACACAAACATTTGTTTTAAAATACTACTGATCTCAAGCAGGTTTTTCCCATTACATATCATTTAAAAAAATCAATGGATACTAAGCACAGTACTACCTTATGGATGTCTGATATATATCTTAAAAAAGGGTTCTCCATTCTCAAAAAGGTTAGAAATCCACTATTGAAATAACCCAAGTCAATATTTCATTTTCTAATGTTTTGTTTGAGTGGAACAAAGGCAAAACAAAAAAGAACTGATCAAAGTCGTAATTCCTTTCCCTTTCTGTTTCTTCAGGACATCTTCAGAAATCTAAGAACAGATCACAGAAATCACAATCTGAAGTTACCTGTGACTCTAAATCAATGTTATTTAGACTCTGAGATACTACGATAGCTCAATTTCATACAGCATTTTTCTGATGCCATCTCTGGCCCTCATAGGGGAGGAAAAGAGCACAGAGAAGGTACTCACGACCACAGTAGGCATGAAAGCAGACACTGGGCTTGGTCAGACGATATACATAGTAGCCACCCGGACAAGCCTTGACCTCCACCGTGGTGTTCCAGAGGCAGCAGTTCCCACTGAAGCTTGCACAGGCCTGGCGTTGCACGATGCCATCACCTTCTAGAGGGTGGCTACCATTGAGCCAGACAGGTGCATGGGTTCCGCAATGGTTTTCAGGTATGCAGAAGGTGGGCATGGCATCCCCTGCCATGCCTGTGAAGCGATACCACTCCCCATCCACGTGGTTGTCACATAGAGGGGCGCCTTGAGACTCATCGAACTGGTGGTCGGTGTTCCTCCATGGCTCATTCAAACTGATGTAAGCAGAGCAGGGATCTAGGGCTGGGGATGAAACAGACACCTCAGAGGCAGGCACCTTGTGGTGTTTCCGATTACAATGGCGAAAGCTTGAGTCCACCTACTTCATCTTACATTTTGGCTTTGGGGGGGGGAGGGGCTTAAGAAAGAAATAATCTAAAAGCCCAAACAGTAGCTGTTTAAGATGCCTCAAGTTGACTTAAACATATTTTATAATGCCTGCTGCAAAAATTATTTCAAATCTATTTATGGTTTAGTGTTAGTGTTGGACTCAACTTTTTATCCAGAGTAATCATTTGATAGAAGGGTAGTTGTTCAGATCAAGGGAGTTTAGGATTATAGTTTCACTGAACTCTGTTCAAGTCAGACAATATTTTGAGTATTGTGTTCACCTAGAGGCTATATTATATGAAAGTATGGACAAATCTGGGGTCCAGTGACCAGACTCGGAAGGGAACCTAAAAATTACCAACTGGGGAAGAAGCAGAGAACTATACTTTGGAGAAAAAAAGATTGAAGAGTATGCATCAGTTTTCACAAATGTAGGTATTCTGTTATTAGAGCAAGAGCAGACTATTGCAGGGAGGGATTTTAGTTCAGCTATGGACTAATGGAGAGGCCGTATCTCAGTGTTGTAAGCTTTTCATCTAAGACATTTAAACAAAGTATTTGGATGGTCATTTGTAAGCAAGACTGTGAATGACATTTTGCACTGCTGGAAAGTTTGACTTGTGAATAAAGGTGCACAGCTCATCCCGCTGAAAAGGAAAATGCCTCTGGCACAAATCCACTGTTTTGAAATACACAGTACACTGACAAGTAATCAGCAAAGATATTCTCAAAGGGAATGTTGGCATATATTGAAAACTTATTGAAAATAGGAACTTTTTGTGTATAAACAATGAGCTACGGCATCATCCTACAGCCAAATTTCTCAAGCATGCCTTTGTAGTGCATAAATCACATGGACAAACATCTCATCAAAAATATTTTAATGACTCAAGACACCAATATCCTCTATATTGTCACTGCTTCCCTCAACTTCAAGGAAACATGGAATGAATATAGGCAAATTGTCTTTATGAAGAATCTATAAAACCAAGAAATTCTAGAAAGGAATACCAGCCAGAGAGTACTACTATCCTTTGTAATGCACATGAGGCCAACTTACCTGACATTGTAGTCAGGGAATTCACATTAAGACCAATGCGCTTTGTAGACAGAAATTCAGTTTTAGCAAATACTGCACAATAATTAACTGTGGATGGACCATGATCATAAAGTTTAAGTTGTCTAGAAAATATTTTGAATTTTCTAAGTCTACTTTTGAACTCCAATTTTCTCTCTAAATTCAGTCACATGTAGAGGAGGCTGTAGCCTAGTGCTAATGGCCCCAAAGAGAATATGAAATTTTGCGAGAGGAAGTAAGGCTATTGCACTTTCTGGAAATAACACATTTGCAGAGTTGCACATGGCAGGAGCCTCTCTCTCTCTTTTAAAATGTGCCTGAGATATTCCAGCTGCGCCTTAGACCGTATGCGATGTCACTTGAGGGCAGGAAATGTCCTCATACAGACTCTCTCCCCTCTCAAAAGGGAAAAATTCCCTCATCTGCTCTCCCAGCTGTGATTCTCTTAAGAAGCAAGGTTTCCAGGGCAATTTTGCAGGTGATTATAAATTCATAGAAATATTTGGTTGATCTCCTTGGCTCTAATTTTATAAGAAATGGTTAGGTACTCAACTTTTAATGGCTTTTGCAGAAATTCCTAAACCTCCCTCAACAACTATTTCATGATTTATAAAGTTTTCCCTTAAATTTAACTGTCATTTTTTGGTGTTATTTGTTAAAAGTTCACTTCCCCTCATTGAAGGGAACATATGGCACAAATAGGGGAAATTTACCGACTATGTTCTGTAAAATAAATATATTTTTAAGTTACCCATGCAATATTTTCTAACATTAAATACACCCATTCCTCTCCACTCCTTAGATCCTTTAATAATCTGGCCACTGGTGTGAATTCCTGTTTTCAGTCTCTCAGTGTGGAGTCTGGCATTCAGTATTATGCATGCTGCATCCTAAATTGCTGATGTATACACTCCTTAAATGGGAGACCTTCAAAAGGAACAATTCCATCGGTTCCTTGCAAAGTTGAGTCCCGGGCCAGCCCTGCCAGGAAGGTCCTCCGTCTTGGCCAGGATTCCTGCCTGAGGTCCCCCATCCGCGGACCCCCGTCTGGGATGCACGGAAGCTTGTGTGTCCCCAGGGCTGGCACCTCACGGGGGCCAAGTGCAGAGAGCAAAGTCAGCCAGCGTCCCCACCCTTCCATCTCCAGCCCTCCAGGTGGGGGGGATGCCACCCCTCGGACTGGGTCCAGGCGCCCCCAGTGTCCTTCCTTCCGTCTCCGGTCCTCCCAGTTCCTACTCTTCCCCTGTACTTCCTGCACTCTCACTTCCTCTCTTTTCCCTCCCCTCCTTTTTTTCTTTCACTTCCCCTCTCCTATAGGGGAAGACCCTCCCTCGGGGCTCCCCAGCTCCCAAAGTCGTTAATTCATTAATTCATTCATTCATTCATTCATTCATTCATTCATTCATTCATTCATTCTTTTTAATTCTCAAGTTAGTTAACATACAGTGTAGTCTTGGCTTTAGGAGTAGAACCCAGTGATTCATCACTTCCATACAGAAGCCGGTGCTCATCCCAACAAGTGCCCTCCTTAAAGCCCATCACCCATTTATCCCACCCTCCACCCCCATCAACCCTCAGTTTGTTCTGTTTTTAAGAGACTGTTATGGTTTGCCTCCCTTTATTTATCTCGCTTTTGGCATCGAGTCAAAGTTCTAGAAGGGCTGCAATAAATAAATTAAAAAAAAACAAAAGATCTGGGAAGAGAGAAGATGTATGATGGGTGGGAACAAGAGGTATTGGAGAGTAAGCAGTAAAGAATGGGAAGAAAGGCAAACAGAAGCTTCCGGGTGGTGGAGGCTACTTTTGCTGGGGCAAGTCTTGGTTAGTTATTGGCAGAAGATACGGGTGATTAAACCTAGCTCAAGTCTATCTTTTTCTAATAGACTATTTTTTAAGAACAATATTAGATTTAGGGAACAATTGAGAAAATAGTACAAAGAGTTTCCATATACTCTGTGCCCAGTTTCCCCTATTATGAAACATTGTACGTTAGTTGCAGTACCTTTTCCACAGTTAATGATCCGAAGGTGATACATTATTATTAACTCAAGTCCATAGTTTAGATTTCCTTAATTTTTGCCTTTGTCTTTATTCTAGGATCCCATCCAGGATACCACATTACCTTAATTTTCACATCTCCTTGGGGTCTCAAGCCTATTTTTAATGTGCATCCTTAAAGGTGCTAGAGTAAGACCTGAGTTACCCTGAAGAAATAAATCGGGGTCAATTAAACAGAGCTACTCAAAAGTGCCAAGCAGGATGGCTCTGTCCATCTCGATCTCCTCTTACTCTCTCTTCCAATTAGAACTTAAATTCTATTGGAAAAAGGAGAAATGTGTTAGTAACTGGAACTGAAACTTTGTTTTGCCTCGTTGGCCAGTCTTGTGCCAAGCCTGAGAAGGGAGAGAGTTTATGATTCACTCAGTCTATGCAAAAAGTTCTTATTTACAGATGTCTAGACTGAGAAGTTCAATTTATCCAGATCTGTGCCTTTCGTGGGGATAGAGCTTTCATTCAGTCCCTTGAATTCATTAAAAACAAAACAAAACAAAACAAAAAAACCAATCAACCAACCAACCAAAAAAAACCCCCTCTATCCTCAACTCTAAAGATTATTATTTTTTTTTCACTCTTAAAGTTGGAATTCTACAAGTGCCTATAATATAAAGAAGTTAGAATTCTTTTTACATGTACTCCAAGAAATATTTAGCTTGTGGAAAGCTGTTGGTTGTGGCAAATCCATGGAAATTCTGGATGCCTGGGCAAGAGGCTAACTGGAACATGAAACAGAAATTCTTTGAAAATGTATCTATCATAGGTTATCATACATTTTCTTATACTATTCTAGAACCAGTATTTAAGATATTGGAACCTAGTTCTTAATTATCTGTTCATAATAGCAAATTCCTATATCAAAAAGTGCGTTGTGCCAAGTATGTGACACAAGACTCACCCATTGGTGATGCAGGTGTGATGGTGAGAAAGACGCAGGTGAGAAGCAGGAATTGAGACATCTTCTAGACCAGCCACCGCAACAGACTGGAAATCCTCTTAATTCCAGTTGTCCTTCGTCTCTTCTTTTTCAAGCAGTTTTTGAAAAAGGTCACTAGGCTCTTACGAAAAAAGACTTTACAGTACTGGTTGGGGCTTTATCAGAGGAAGAGGATGAGTGGGATAAGGTGTCCATTGTTCTGGCCTTGACCCCAGATAGAAGCACTGCTTTACGCTGTCAACAGGGTTATTGATGTTTTTCTTCAGTGGGGGAGAAAGCCCGTCACAATCCCTCATCCTCCTATTGTTTTCTCTCAAGAATTCCCTGCACCAAGGCCTCCGGTATCTTATCCAGAAGGGAACCTAAGTGAGGGACATCCCCTTGTGTCAAAATCTTGTTTTGTGACTTCTAGGAATTAATTTCATGGTGTTGCAGCCGTGCCATTCATTGCTTATGAAATGAGAATGGGATAAAGCCAAATTGTTGGCACTGGTCATTAGGAAACGTCTTGGTCAGATGGTGAAGGAGTTTATAAAGGCACACGAAAAAGTAGTAAGGAGACGTGTGGATTAGGGACAACATTCTCTTGAAGCAAGCTCCTAAGTGTGCTTTATTATGGTCTTTGGTCTCAAAACTTCCTAAAAAGAAGGTTTAAGTTGTGTTGTTACCAATTCCAGCAGCAACACCTCAGTTTTCATAGTGTCTTTCTGTTCCAAATTAAAATGGTTTAGGGTTCCTTATTTTACTAATTCTCACACGAAGAGGTAGAGGCTTCAAATTCGGAATGACTCACTCATTAAAAGTAACAACACCGAAAGTGACGCTTACTAGAATTTCATTTTTAGACAAAAGAGGCAAAATGAAGGGACCTGCATATTATGTGTCCCCAGACAACCTTTGGTAATTACAGGTCCAGAGTCTGCCAGCTCCCTGATGTTCTACAGTGTGTGGACACCTGGGACTTGGCAAGCACTAGTACGGGAGATAAGGTAAAGGGAGGAGAAAGAGAAGGGTAGAGGACAAGTTTTTATTTTATTTTTTTACCATTTAAAACAATGTTTATTTATTTATTTGGCGGGGGGGGGGGGGGGGGGGGGAGGGAAGGGGCAGAGAGAAAGGGAGAAAGAGAATCCCAAGCAGGCTTTGTGCTGTCAGCGCTGAGCCCAACGTGGGGCTCAATTTCATGAATCATGAGATTAGGACCTGAGCTAAAATCAAGTCTGACACTTAACTGACTAAGCCACCGTTTTTTTTTTTGTTGCTTTTTTTTTTTTTTTTAGGTCGGTTTCATGCCCAACATGGGGTTTGAACTCATGACCCTGAGATCAAGAGTTGCATGCTCTACTAACTGAACCAGCCAGGTCCCCCGAAAGATTGTGTTTTTAAATATTATATTAAACCAGGATCTGAATGATATCAAAGTTTCCTACTCTTACCTTGATCTGATGCTTTGGGCTTCTATCATTCGTACACTATTTATATTTCTTGTCCTATAGCCACATTTCTAGTGACTAGGGAAGGGATATTTGTATTAGGAAGTAGTTCACAAATGTGTCTTCTTAATCTCTTGTCACATTTTTTTCCTATGCTAAGTGGCATCCAAATTGGGGTGGCCCCTTTCCTCTAAGGGTTTCAGTTCAATTAAACATTAGTGCTTACTAGGGGCCAAGTGCCATGCTGTCTCTGGTCTTTGACAGTGACTAAAGGTAAAAGTGTTCCTGCAAGCACAGAGTTTACAGTGCTCTAGAGTGGAAAGCTCTAGCAAGGGGTTTCTGTTGATCTAAATTTATAGTTAGCTACTTTATCACTAGCAGATGATAGCAGAACACAGGCGATCTGACCATTTTTAGCTTATTAAGTTGCAATTTGATGGCAGCAATGGATGCATCTGGGACTGAGGAACCGTCTCATTGCAGTTAAGGAGTTGGTGCTCTTAACAGAAAAAACAAAACCCTGCAGTTTCCTGTCCCTGAGAGACCATCTGAGTGCTTCATATGTGTTGCAGAGAAACAGAGGACGTGTGCGTGAGATAAACTCAGATTTGCTGCCAGGATTGATGGCCAGAGTCAAGGACTTTTACCAGATAGCCCTCTGGTTCTGTAAACAAGCATTCCCAGGATGGTAGGACTTTTTTTTCTTATTCCTATTTTTTCCTTTTTAGTTGACCTGCCATTTCATTTTAATTTTTTATGATGAAAAATTTCAAATGTATACAAAAGTAGAAAGAATAATACCCAGCTGCAATTACTAATATTTTGTCAATCTTATTTATATACCAAGATGCATTTCTAACATATGGCCTTTTTTACATAACTGTAATGTCATTCTTACTACTATGAAAACTTAGTACTAATAGTCATTTCATATTAAAATTCTCCCAACTGTTTCAAAATTTGCATGGCTAGTTTGAAGTCAGGATTCAAACAAGAGCCATACATTGCATAGAGTTATATCTCTTAAATTCTCTTAATCTAGAATGGTCCCTCCCTTTTCCTCAATGCTTGCACCATTTGTTGAGGAAAGCCAGTCATTTGTCCTATAGAATGTCTCACGTTCTAGATTGCTTTGACTGCTCCTTGTGGTGTTTTATAGCGTCTCCTCTCCCATATTTAATGTTAATTCTTGTTCATATTTTCTTATTTTTCTAAAGTACGTGCTATTAGAAATTAAAAACAAAAATATTCTGGTGACACTGAAGGAATTTAATGCACTGGAGGAATGCAGGAAATAGATCAGTTAGGAGGCAGATGAACCATTCTGCTGTTCAGGAGAGATCTGAGTTTACCTAACAATCTGAGAGCTACCAGCTTACAAATGGGGGAGGGGAGTGAGTGAGATCATCTATGGAAAATGGGGCCCAAGATGGAACCCCAGAGAAGCCGAACATCAGATGTGGGCAGAGGAAGGGGACACTGCAAACGAGGCCAAGAAGTAGTCAGAGATTTAAAGAAGGAAACTCAAGAGTCGAGTCACAGGAGCAGAAGATATTTTTGAGGAGGGATTGCTCAGTGGATGATGAATTTATAAAACATATGCAAATGAAAATTTATATAGTGGGTCATTTTATATTCAGTAGAATTCATTACAAATTAGCCTATACATTTATCCTAAGGATGTAACTATGTAGTGCATTCTGGAAGAGAACAAGTTTGTACTTACTTGGGAGAGCAACAAACTAAAGATCGTTGGCAGTGATAAAAATGAATTACAACTCTCAACAGTTTTGGTGAAACTGAGTTCCAGAATCCAAGAAATTCCACTTTTCTGTGAAATCTCTATAGATTGATTTTAAAAATTCAACCTATTTGTTTTTGTAAGCATCTACTATGTCCTCACCACAACCCTTGAGAAGCAAGATACAGCAGTACAGGTGACATGAGCTCTATTGTTTCCATTTACCATATTCACCACACTCACCAATTCTCCGTTACTCGGTCTGGTTGTTTGGTCATAGGAATGCACTGATGGGTTGGGACATAGACGTCTTCTCTGTGCCTGTTTCCTTCTCTTTAAAGCACTGGGCTGACTAGACCAACGGTTCCCATCGGAATCACCAGAAGAGCTTATTACCCACAGATTGCTGGCCCAGTGCCTAGTTTCTGATTCAGTGGGGATCAGAGAAATTGCATTTTTAACAAGGACATACCAGGTTGCTGCTCCAGCAATCATACCGTGAGAACCCTTTTACTTTTTCCATCTCTAAAAGTCTATTATCCCTTAGCAAAACTGCATTATCTACACTCACTAATGGATTTAACTCTCTATTATCTATCTCCACTGAAAATTCACTGAAGCCTAACAATGTCGTGGAATGTGTAGACATTATTTGCTGAAACCAAACAGTGGCTTAACGTTTTCAATCTTATTTTCTTCCACCTTACTTCAGTCTCAGGGATGTCTGCTCTCAGTACATCTCACACTGCACTAAATACAGTCAGACATTTAACGTTTAACATATGATTTTTGATAGGCCGTCAATGGATTAGGTAGCATGTGATATTTTCCTGTTTGGTGATCATACAAACTCTTAAAATAATGAATATTTAATCTTGGTTCATTCTTGAACAACTTTCTGAAGTCCAGAAGACCACACTGGGCAATCTGGTGGTCTGATACAATAGAAAATTTTCCTGGTAGTCAGGAGATAAGGATATTGGTCTCAGTCTTGCCATTGGCTTTATTACGGCTGTAGAAGTCACTTAACCTCTGGTAGCTCTGGAAAATTAGGAAAATACTGACCATTTTAGATTCAGGAGGCATGAATGAAATGCCTGTTTTTAAAATACGGGCTCTAGTAACCAAATTTAGTTTCAAAATAGTAGTTTTATAAAAATTAATTTTAGAAGTAGACGCTTCTCCACCTTAGAATTACAGGAAAATAAGGTTTTGTTTTCTTGGTTTTGCTTTAAAGAATAAGATGCTATAGTTCAAAAATTGAATAAGTATTTATTGTTCCAGAAGGTACATTGCTTTTTATACATATTTCATAAATGATACAGGATTTTACACATGTTCAGTATTTTGCTATTTGTGTAAAGGACTTTTCTCCACATCTTCCCTCCCTTGCCTCCCACACACCCTGAAAGGATTTGCTCATTGCACTGTGCTGTTTCTTCTTAAAAACCCTGCACACAAACAGGATAAATGATTTAAAAATAATTCACATTAACTTAACAAAAATAAATGAGGGGAGGGGCTGAACGACTGGGGGGAGGGAAGGGGGGACATGCGCCCTTTCATTCCAACATGCCAGTGGAAGGGGTGGCGGCAGCAGCGGCGGCGGTCCTGGCTAGCCTTCGACCTCTACAAGGCACCTGGAGTCTGGGTTTGTCGCCTAAAGTGTTTCTTTTCATACACAATGATCCCAAAGGAGGAAGAAAATGAGAAAGAAAACTCCTTGCCACAATGAGGAGGGATGAATCATGTGAAAGAAAAAGCCAATCAGCTGTGTGGCAAGCCTCATCATCCTTTCCATCCTGTCCCCCACCGTAGTGCAAAACAGGATATTAGACACAGATTCCT